CTTACAGAAACGAATACTTTCTACGATATATTGATTTGAAATGTCGCGTGACGTCACTTCTATGTACATTTTTACGACAAAATAAAAAAATACGTGTCTAATATTTTTTCATTACCTAACTTATGGACTAATTAGATTTTTAATTTTACCCTGTCATCATCCCAAAATTCCCAAAATCCCGAAATTAAATTTCTTTATTGTGGATCACAGATTTGGGGGCTTACTCTTGCATCGATCGACATTGACATTTTGTCGTACTCTTGAGTTGCAACACTAGCGCCCATTACATCCGTATTGCGCGGATATTGAATGAACTAAATAGTATTGAGTTTGTCTTTATATTCCGTACTCTGAATGCTATTGTAACAGCTACGATTGTGGTTGTATAGTGTTGACATTGAATAATTATTGAGATTTTATTGTATTTAAATTGCATTGACATTGAGATTGGTTTCAAGAGTAAGCACCCTGGGCTGTGACATAATACAGCGGGGTTGTTATGACATCTTAAAGTCAAAATGGTTCCATTGAGGGAAAGAAACAGAGCTATACAAGTCGTCTAGCGACGTCTCGTTCCCTCAACGGAACCATTCTGGCTTTAAGATGTCATAATACGCCACCTGGTCTTAAATAATACAATTCAATAGATCACTAGATCATCTATATGATATGACTGATCATGGCGAGACGTGGTCAGTGCCGCCCTTTGGGCATACAATACAAAATAAAAAAAATAATTATTATGTTTTTATTACCATTACTGCAGAGTCGACTAGTCAGTAGCAGCGCGAAGGTCGCCGCATCGCGGAATGCTGCTCATGATTAAGAGCCTCTAGCATCAAGCATGGCTTGAAACTAGTCGAGTTCCTCGTCAAATAATTACGTGAATCATGAACATAATAATTAAAAGTCCGTCAGTTAAATCCGTCTACCGTTTTTGACGAATACATGCAATCGTCAAATGCCGCAACATGGGTTGTATGTAGCCTATTTTGCTGAGATGCACAAAGTGATATTATGTCTTATTTGACTAGAATGACATGTAAATAGACTGCCTGAAATAATATATAACCCGATATGTACAAGAAAATTTTTATTTTCAAATAATCACAGCGAAGGAGAACATCGTGAGGAAACCTGCAGCTGTACCCAAATGCCATTTATCGCTTATCTACATGTAGAATAGAAAACCAAATTATATGGCATTGACGTCAATTTTGAAGCTTGTCAGTGTCATCCCCATACATTTAGTTTTCTACTCTCTCTGTCGACACGCACTAAAGTGGCGTTTGGCTAAAGAGACTGGACTTATAATTTCGGATTATGTTTGAAATCGTCCTCGCATCGAGCAAGCGTGGTGATTAATGCTCATTCCTTCTCTGTGTGAGAAGTGGCCTTTGGTCAGCAGTAGACACTTGTAGGCTGACAGGAAAACAAAGATTGCTTCAGTACAGAGACAGTAGCTGTCGTTATAGTAAATTGTACGCTTTGTAACGAAACCATGTCTTCTGTAACTCGGTCGGCTCTAGACAACCAATGGCTACTGTCTCTGTACTGAACCAATCTTTGTTTTATTACATTGTAAATATTTTGGCCCAAAAGTAAATATACAATATTTGATGAAAACTTAATCTTAAATCTATTTCGTGAAGGTACATTATGGTTTGAATATTATGTGCAGAATAACTAAATTGTATGATACTTATCTACTAATAGTTCAGATCGGTGTGTGAAATTTCTTATAGATTATGAATTAAACTAATTATACACCGTGGAATCTATTTCGTTTGCGTCCCGCAGCAAAACAACTCGCCATAAGGACTACTTTCGATGTATAAAGTAAAAACAAAACAATAAAGATGTCATTTTTGTAGTTTACAAAAAAAAAAATCGTGGAAATACTCACATGAAACACTAGACGTAAATTAGTAAGCACTATTCGCATCGCACGTGTCACCCGACGAGAGATACCTCTTCGAGAATGACATGGCGTGATGTTTAGATAATGTACTGTGAGTTCGTGTGCGCTTTCGAAGTTTGCTTCTTGCAATCACCAGTTGTTTTTTGTTTGTAAAACTATTGTATTAGAGACAGAACCATTTTACTTCGGGACGAAAACGAAATACATATCACGGCGTATATTTCCTTTCTAAGACATTTAAAGAAATCTTTACAAGATTCGATTTAGCTCGCAAAAAACGTGACGTCACTATACACAATCTCCTACAAAATAGGGTAGTTTCCTAAATTGTATTTTAACTCGTCGAGTACCGGTTTTCTAGACACAATTATAGAACAATAGGTTGCGGTCACCGGTGACCGCTTGGTGTTTGACAGTATGTCCGTCTGGTACATTAATTTAAAACTTTAGACACGTATTTTTTCTTTTCTCACAAAATTAAATACTTTCGACGATATATTAATTTGAAATATCGTGTGACGTCACAGCGTGTCACATTTTGTAGCACGTTATGACGTAACGACCTCCCACTCATAAACTTAGCGCCATTTTATCTAAGTATTGCAACTTAATGCGAGAAAATAACAAAATACGTGTCTAATATTTTTTCATTATCTAACTGACGGACTAATTAGATTTTTAATTGTGATACCCTGGAAACTACCCAATTAATAGAAGACTGTCGTTTTTGACAGTTCAAGAGAAAGTATTAAATTTGACTAGTTGGCAAGTCCACAATTACAAGTGTGTGTAATTCAGATTCTTAGATTTTGTTACATAGTTCGAATAGAAGCTTGCTAAGTTGTTTTTAAATGTCTATTTCTAATGTTATTTAAAAAAATATCAAATACAAAATATTGCTTTTCGTTATCAAAAGGTATTACGTAGAAATTACAATTAAGTTGGTACTTCTATAGTTTTTTTAAATATAATTTAGGCACTTACTTAAGCACCATAGTCTACAATCAGGCACCATATTTACTAAAATAGAACACATAGTTCTTATAGCTACATTTTTGTAACTGCTACTGCTGATCAAAGTCTCTTCTCACAGGAGGAAGGTTTGAGCATTAATCACCACGCTTGCTCAATGCTGGTTGGCAATTTCAAACTTATAATTAGAAATTATAAGCCCAGGTTTCCTCACGATGTTTTCCTTCACCGTTTGTCAGTGGTGTCTAAATAATCTTAGAAAGACGCCCGACATCCTTCTCATGCATCAGAGTGCGGGCTCGAAACCTACCAACGGCAAGTACCAATGTGACTTTTCCGAGTTATATGTACTTTCTAAGATTATTTAGACACCATTGACAAACGGTGAAGGAAAACATCGTGAGGAAACCTGGACTTATAATTTATAATTATAAGTTTGAAATGAGCAAGCGTGGTGATTAATGCTCAAACCTTCTCTTTGTGAGAAGAGGCCTTTGGTCAACAGTGGACACTTATAGACTGTTAATGAGATGTGAATCAGTAATCCAAGACCAAAACTGGAGGTAAAAGATAGTTGATGACATTTTACTTATATAATAAATTGGAGATTGTAGCTCAATTTGAGATTTCATTAACACTTAAACATTATAAATATTTAACAATACTTAAAATTAAAAAGATCTTTACACATACTATTCTGCTAGTCAATTTTAAACCTTATTGCTTTAGCTATGAGACTCATTAGTTCTTAGCTGCAACAAATAGCTCGCCTTTTGGTGACGGTAGAGTTAAACAAATTTGTCACCACCGCTACTCTTCCCGCGGGTGTTGTATACCCGACTAAGATACTACATATTAGACAGAGACCGTGCAGCAGCGCTCTCTGATAACCCTGAACCTTGTATACTGCGACCTCCAACCCGCCTGCCTGCGGAGATTGTGACAAACCCTCTTATGTAGAGGAGACTCATAGTGCAGCAGTGGACTGTCACCTGATTCATGCCATAAAAATAATTTACTAGTACCTACGATCTAAAATCATTCTTATATCTTTAGCATATAGTGCAAAATTGATTAGCAGAACGATTAAAATAAAAAAATATAAATCTATACAAAATTATATATGTGTAATTGATAAATGTACGTATAAGCTGCATAAACATTGCTAAATGGCTCAAATACTTACAAATAGCTACCTTTACAATTTGTAGCGATAAAAAAAACTAAAAAAAATCTTAAAAACTAATAAAAAATGCAAAAACAGTAAAAAAAATCACTGCATTGTATAAAACAATGTCGTCGACTGTACCTATGTATGCTTTTTTTAAGGGGGGAAAATCATCGAATGACTGCTCCCGCCTAGGTGAGGCGGGAGGGAGTGTCAGACTCTTACTGACTAAAAACCACCCCGTGCCTACTTCGGCAACCCGTTAGGTCTTCCGTGGCTCCGTATCGGTATCAGCCCTATTGTCTGTGTTGGTCTGAGGGCTCGTACACAGAACTGCGATGCGATGCGATGTGAATCCGCAACGATTGATGCAAATTGCTGCGATGCGATTTCGTACGACAAGGCGTCTCCCAGGGTGACCATTCCTTCGACGACCGTCAACCGTACTAAACGTATTTTAAATTGAAAACTAGGTCGTGATCTGGATGGATCTTAAAAAGAAGTGTGCACTTCTGTTATTGCTTAGGAGATACAGGAAAAAGAAACAAAGAAGATTTTAGGAAGATAAGATTTTGATGCGCGATGCGAATCAATTCGCAAGTTCTTGGGATGCGTAGAGGGAGCTCGCACATTTCTGCGCATCACAATTTTGTGTACGAGCCCTAAGAGAAAAGGTTAACAGTATAATATAGTAAGGTAAATGACTAATCTTAATTTCAATGTCCGTCTGGTAGATTATTTTAAATCATTAGACGCGTATTTTTTATTTTCTTACACAAACTAATACTTTCGACGATATATTGATTTGAAATGTCGCGTGACGTCACTTCTATGTACGTTTTATACGTAGAAATGACGTTTTAGCCCCCACTCCTATACTTTGATATGTTTCATCTAAGTATTGTTTTATTATACGACAATATAAAAAATACGTGTCTAATGTTTTTTCGTTACCTAACTGACGGATTAACTGGGTTTTTAATTGGCATACCCCGTAATTATATTTATTATCGCGGCCAAGAGATAGTATTCATATAAAATTCTATTTTTTACACTATAATTGCTTATTTTTTAAAGGAATTTACACTTTGGAACGAGCACCTACCTTCACTGACGGACGAAAGTTCCTGACGGTTTAACTCGTCGAGTACCGTCATTATAGACACAATTAAAGAACAATAGGTTGCGGTCACCGGTGACCTCGCGGTGTTTGACAGTTTAATTCAAATAAATGCTTTAATTTTAGACTTCCAAAAATTATTTTTTAGTCTATAATGACTTAAAAGACTAACGTTTCGTTTCCACTAACCACCCCCTAAACCATCACTTAACTAAGAGTTACTTAACGTCAGGGAAAATCTTAACTAACTGCCTTTGTCGTTAGGTGTCATTTGTAGCTTGGTAAAACCAAAACATCATTAAGTGCCACTTAGATTAGGGGTAACTTAAAATTTAAGAGAGCCACTAAAACATCCCTTAATTTAGAGTTACTCAGCGTGAGGTGAACTCAATGACATAAACTTTACCGTTAGGTGATATCGGTAAACGAGCAGACGGATCACCTGATGGTAAGCAATCGTCGTCGCCCATGGACACCTGGATCACCAGAGGCGTTACAAGTGCGTGGTCAGCCTTTTAAGGGTTGGGGGTTCTTGGTAAAATAGAGGTTCACGAAAACAATAGACTTTCAGAAGTCCTTTTTTGGAATAATTGCTAAAAAATTATACACTTTCGATATTTTTCTTATTCTGAGCCATATTTACAAGTTGCCCAGAACTATTCAAGTGAACATCTAATGCTTTCTTCAAATTATTTTCAGTAGCTTGCCTGAAAATTGGTTTCAAAATGGCCGGCGCAACGAATTTCTTCTTATTATATTTTTGCGGGATCGTACGACGTTTTAATTTATCATCGAAGCGAATGTCATCCCAAGTCAGGTACGTATTCATCTTCATATGATATTTCAACTCTTCAGACAACTTCTCATGCTTACTTACGTCTTCCAGAAGGATCAAAATCACTCTTTCCCGACCTTCCTTCAAAGCCAAGTTATGAGCCGTCCTAAACTCCATATTCGCAAACGTCGAATCGAGAAAATGATTCGATAATAAAATAATAGTTTTCCGAGAATTCGATACCGACCGATGAATTTGATCGGGGATGAAATCACCGACTTCCCAGTCTCGGTAGTGGACACAGACTTTCAATTTGAAGTCGTTTTCTAGTTTGGGCAGTAACTTGTCGACGTATTTTTGATCTTGGTGGGCGTAGGAAACGAAAATATCGTATGCTTTGACTATATTGTCTGGGTCGTCGATGTACCAACAAGGAAGTAGTCTGTGTCCACAGTAATCAACAATTTGTCGAGAAAAGATGAATGCTAGTATGAATAAAATTAGTAAAAATACGAATATGCCGCCGATTTCTGCAACTAAAGTTTGAGTGTAACATAGGGCGGGAATATCTAGCTCTTTCACTAAGACACCGTCGGAACAGCCAACGGACTCATAATCTTTCACGATACTACGTCTACCTTTTAAAGCTACAATGTCATCTTTAGAAAAACAACCACAGTCGAACGGATTATGCGATAAATACAACGTCGTATTCGATTTTACGAATCGAACAGGAATTTTTGTTAAACTATTATTCGAAAAATCGATTACTTTCACCAATTTTGACGGTTCGAATGGGATTTTTTGTAAACCTATATTAGTTAAGTTTAGTAAACTTAGAGATAAGTTGCTTAGATCTTTTGGTGGGTGCTTTAATTTTAGACGTAGTTCTTGAACGCCATATTCTGCAAGATCAGGGAAAGAAGGTGGCAGATAATCACAATCATAGGACAAATCATTGAACTCTGGTCTCACCAGAACAGAATTACAATTAAATCGAACTTCAGGCAGCATTTCTTCGCATAATAAGTGGGATGGGGATACATTTCTCAACAAATCCCCGTTTAAGTGGTCTGGGGATTTACATTCAGCGTCGCCTACGTTAAAATTCGGTTCGGAGGCAGGTTTTTTCCCCCGGAGACGCATAACGAAGTTATATATATGACAATCGCAGTTGAAAGGGTTGTGGTCCAACAGAAATATGGTGTTTGATTGTATTTCTGATTCCGAATGGTCAATCGACACAGCTGGTTGGTACATGCCTACAGTACTTATATTATTATACTGCAAGTCCACTGTTACCTTTTTGCTTAGGAACTGATAGTTGACCGGCTGCAAAAAAGAAAATATAATAATTGTTATTAATTAATATGTTTGCTAGTCTTCTATCTGAAATCTACTCATCAACAGCCTATAAGTACCCACAGCTAAGCAAAGACTCTTGGAGAAGGTTTGAGCATTAATCACCATGCTTATTCAATGTATGTGCCCTGCAGGGCCTGCTCCCCACGCATAACTTTCCTACACACCAAAGAGGTTCCTGCTTAGATCACATCATGCTAAAATCGGCTTTTCCCTCGTTTGCACTTGTTACTAACTCATCAATAACCGATCATAACGCTGTCCTACTAACTCTAAATTGTAGTCTACCTAAACAAAATACTCGCTTAATTAACAAACTGCAATTAGATAAATTAGAGGACGATTTACGCAACACCGACTTTGAGCCAGTATATAATTCTGCTGACCCACAATACTGCATGTCGTACGTGATTGAAAGCGTGCGTCATGCAATTCAGCAAAACACAGTACTAACAAAGTTACGTAATAAAAACTATAACATCAAACCGTGGATTACAACTGGACTAATCAGGTGCATGAAACATAGGGACAAACTGCATACTAAGGCTAAATCGAATCCAGACAATACGGATATACAAATATCCTACAAAAGATATCGAAACTTTTGCAACGACCTCCTTAAAAAGATCAAAAGTAAATTCGATAAAACTAAATTAGAAAAGGCTGGCTCAAATAGCAGACAATTATGGAAGTGCATTAAAAATATTACATACGCGTCAAAACAAAGTGACTCAGCCTCGGGTTTACTAGAGGGATATACGACACCGCGCACGGCCGCTAATGTGACTAACAACTTTTTTGCTAATGTGGGCAAAAGTCTAGCAGAAAAAATCCAGGGTCAAGGCCATCCTCAACAAAATACCCCGAAGAAGTACACACCCATAGCATCTTTTGTGATGTTCGACACTGACGAGACTGAGGTACAAAATATCATTATGACTCTGAAGGACGATAGCGCTGCTGGCTGGGATGATATCCCTAGTAAAATTATTAAGCAGTTTAGAAACATTCTAACACCTCCTTTGACTTATATTTTTCGACTGTGTTTATCTTCAGGCATATTCCCGGCATGTCTCAAAAAATCAGTCATAGTTCCAGTACATAAATCAGGCAGTAAATCCCAACTAACGAACTATAGACCTATCTCACTACTGCCTTCTATGTCTAAAATATTAGAGAAGCTAGTAAATAATAGACTGCTTAAATACCTGGAGGACAGGTCAATCCTATCAGAACACCAATATGGATTTAGACCTAAAATTTCAACAGCAGATGCAGTACACTACGTGACTAACTACATAACGCAAGAACTTGATAAGGGTAAACATACTTTGGGAGTCTTCCTAGATCTGGCCAAGGCTTTTGACACAATTTCCATTCCTGTGTTGTTGCGTAAGCTGGAGATCATAGGTATAAGAGGGATGCAGCTTAAATTTTTTCAAAGTTACCTAGAAGACCGCAGTCAGTGTGTAAGAATCGGTAAAGTACTCAGCGATGACGTTAAAAACACCCCCTACGGTGTCCCGCAGGGGAGCATATTATCGTCTACATTGTTTCTAATATACATAAATGACCTATGCAATCTTAAGCTGGAACACGGCACAATCGTGTCATACGCTGACGACACCGCTCTACTTTTTTCTGCTGACTCGAAAACTGAGGTCTACAGACTTGCGCAGCACGGATTTAATCATGTAAATAACTGGCTTCGGTGTAACTCACTAACATTAAATACAGATAAGACACACTTCATCAAATTCGCTATTCGGAAGGAAAACCCAGTTTCTACCTTAGCCTTGTATGCCCATCACTGTAACATTCCTGATCAATGTATGTGCCCTTTTATCAATCAGAGTAGTAATGTAAAATATTTAGGTGTAATATTAGATGAAACTCTTTCTTTTAAACGACATCTGAACGTTTTAAACAATAGATTGCGTAAGCTCATATTTGTGTTCAAAAAGCTACGTTACATTGCTGACCCAAAAATAATCAGACAGGTATATTTCTCCTTGTGCCAATCAATATTAACTTACTGTATTACCTCTTGGGGTGGTACGGATAAGACTCTACTGCTTTCCACTGAAAGAGCCCAAAGAGCGATTCTCAAGGTGTCTACTGGCCGATCTTTTCTTTACCCCACTAACCTTCTATATAGTTCTTGTAAAGTACTAACAGTCCGGCAGCTTTTTATTATGAGCACTGTACTAAAACAGCATGCGGCTTTTCCATACAATCCTGGGATAACCGAAAAACGGCGAAGAGATATTGTTTGCCCAACCAAAAGTACAAAGCACGCTTTTATTACCAAATTTTTTGTATTTCTTGGACCACTCCTATACAATAGACTAAATGCAACGTTATGGATTTATCCCCATAGCATCCGTAACTGTAGGAAAATTCTAAAGGAAGCCCTTCAAGACATGTCCTATGAAGACACAGAGAAGTTATTAATAGTTCCTAAATAATACTTAAAGTAAGCTCCTAATCTCTTATTTATATACTACATACATACTCTTAAATACATATTAAGCATAGAATTTAAGTATTACTTTACATCAGTATGCGTACATATAATTAAATATTGTCATAATTTACCCTAACTTATTAGCATTTAAGTACTAGTGATTATATAACATTGTTTACTACTATTACCTAACCTCGCCTGAAACACAGGATTTCCTAGTTCAGGCACCTTATATTGTGAACTTTATTTAACTTTAAGCAAAACTGTACATTTCTAGATCATTATGTTTGAAAATAAATTTTATTATTATTATTTATTTATTAACCACAGATTAAATTAGGTCAATTGGCATATCAATATAGCGATAATTAGAAATACAATTATTATTATTATTTACAATTATTATTGCGGGTTAAGACGCCCGCTTCTCATATATGAGGGTGCGTTTTCGAAACTTAGCAACGGCAAGTACCAATGTGACTTTTTCCGAGTTATATGTACTTTCTAAGATTATCTAGACACCACTGACAAACGGTGAAGGAAAACATCGCGAGGAAATCTGTGTAAATTGTTATTTAGTAATATTGATAATGTATCTTATGTAATTTACATTATACCTATATATACGGATATATGTATGTATTTACAGTTATGCATCACATAAACCATTATACCTATTACACCTACTGTTGCACATCTCTGCATCACCCCATGGTTGACTGTTAGAGAATGCCACCCGGCATTAAGTCCGCCATCGTATGTTTGCTATACAGAAGTGTTAATAAATAAATAAATAAATGAAATCTGGACTTATAGTGTGTATAAGTTTGAAATCGCCAACCCGCATTGAGCAAGCGTGGTGATTAATGCTCAAACCGTCGTGTGAGAAGAGGCCTTTGGTCAGCAATGGACACTTATACACTGTTGATGATGTTTGTATAGATGTACAAGCTTCTGCCAACGGCTTCGCCTGATGCGAGAATTGATGATGTAATTGCTTAATGTTATGTTATGTAAAGACACAAACAAACGAGCGGGACACGCTAAATGAATGAAATTAAACAAGTGATACTCACATTTAAATTCTCAATACGGTTGTGAGACAAATCCAATACTTCCAAATTGGTGAACACGATTCTCCAATCGTCAAAAATGGTTGTGATATTATTTCGACTCAATGTCAACTTTTTTAACTCGATCAAAGTGTTGAACGGTGAATACACTTCATAGCCCATATTGTATGCAGATTCGATTTGTTCTTGAGATTTTAGCTGCAATTTGTTTCCCATCATTGATATTGTTTGCAAAGACGTTGCGCCTTGGAACGCTAAGGCATTTATCGTAGTGAGTAAATTTTCGTTAATCGATAGTTCTTCCAATTTCCTTAGACCAGCGAAGAAGAATCTGTAAGTGGAATGTTATAAGTGGGTATAAGTGGATTGGTGATTAACGCTTGCTGTCCATTTTGAACCTTTTTATTTTTGTTTTTTAGGATTTTCTCCTGTGTCGTGTTTGCGTTTACAAACATACAAGTTTACATACATATGACACAGACTCGGAACAATAATTTTTGGATCACACAAAGATCGGAGCATCTTTGCGGGAATCGAGTACACTATGTTGCGCGGCAGCCGATTCCAGCCACCACACCATCCACAAATTGTTATTCCGGGTCTGGGTGTCATGTGTGAGTGAACTTGTATGTTTTTAAACGTACACACGACACAGGAGAAAATCATAGAGTGGGATGGACAGATTTAAAAAAAAATCAAAAAAGATTGTACTTCATATATATATAGGTATATATATACACACATACATTAAAAGTTAAATGAAAGCTTATAATAAGCTTATAAAAAACAATAGCTACTTACTCAGGCAACACCTCCAAGTGATTTCGGTCCAGGTTCAAATATTTCAATTGTTTCAAAGGCGATAAAACTCCACTATCCAATTTGGCAATTCTATTGTAGCTCAAATCGAGATGTTCTAAATTCTTCAAATCTTTGAAAAAATTATCCGGTATAGCTGTTATCCGGTTTTGGGAGAGGTCCAAAGTGCGTAAGGCCTCACAGCCGGTGATCAAGTCTTTCGGTAATTCAGCGAAGCAGTCCTTGATTATAAGATTCTTTAATCCAGGCAGATTGGTAATCGAATTTGAATGCAAATGTAACTTGATGTCGTTTAATTGTATGGTTATCTGAAAATAATAAAAATATATTTATCTTACATATAATAAAACTGTTGAAGCGTAAATTCTGTACATTGAAAATATTAAAAAATAAATAACAGCAGAAAACCACAGTGAAACAACGCTTGCGTTGTGTTTCGTCGTGTGAGTGAGGTTACTGGACGCCCAATAACCCTCCTCCCTCCCAAATCTCTGAATCCCTAACAATCCTCAAGTTCCTAATCATCAAAAGGCCGGTACCGCATCTGGTGTGCTGGGTGTCAATGGGCGTCGATTGCTTACCATCAGGTGATCCGTCTGCTCGTTTACCGGCTTATGCCATAACAATATATGAGTAGCCCTTGAATATGACTTCCACGCGGACAAAGTCGCGCGTACAACTATTGCTATATATATATATAAAAATGAATCCCTTTTTCCCTTGTGACGGCATCACACGTGAATGTCTGGACCGACTTCACTAATTCTTTTTTTGTTGTATTTGTTATTAGCTTTTGTTACCCTTTTGTCCCGTTCCCGTAGGATTTTCAGGACTTTTTCTGTCATAAAAATCTTCTCCTGACAATAGTAAACCAAACAAAAAAATAATCAGCCAAATCGGTCCAGCCGTTCTCAAGTTATGGCGTGACAACGGGAAACGGGTTTCATTTTTATACATATATAAATTATTAGGTTAGAAGGTTCTTAAGACTGAAAAAATCCTGAAAATCCTACGGGAACAGGAGAAAACGGAATTGCGCGTACGAAGTCGCGAGCAGAAGCAAGTAAAATACAAATATACTTACATTTTCCAGTTGAGTCAAGTTAGTCAACAGTCCTGGAGCGATCTCTTCGATTCTATTCTTCATTATGTACAGAGACTTTAACTTCGGCAGGTGTTTGAATGCTCCAGGAGATATATTTGCCAGACGACTCATGGTGAACGATAGCTTTTCTAACGAGTCCAGACCTGAAAAAAATATAAATAAAAATAAACGTCTTTTTTTTATAATAACTATCGACTGATTCATTGATCTCTGGTTAATTTATACACTTATTAGGCTTTTTTTAAGGGGGGGAAATCATCGAATGGCTACTCCCGGCTGGGTGAGATGGAAGGGAGTGTCAGACTCTTACTGACTAAACACCACCCCGTTCCTTCTCCTGCATTTCGAGCCGGAGCACCGGTAACCCCTTAGGTTCTCCGCGACTCCGAATCGGCATCAGCCCTATTGTGGCGCATCCGTGGTGGTCTGATGGCTCTTTGAGGCGCGCGCGGCCCGCTCGGCGCCGTACGCTCGGGTCTGTTTCTGGTCGGACGGGGAGCCACCCATGCTCGCCGTCCGCAGGCCCGCGCTTACGGTGGCTGGAGGTCGTCCACTTATTAAGCTACGATGGGACTGACATACGCTGTGCGGTATAAAAGTCCCTAAAACTAAAAAGGAAAAAGTAATAACTATCGTGTGATGTGTGTATGTATACTGGGCAAGGGGTCTCGGGTTTGATTCCCTGGTCAGGCAAAGTATTATTAGGTTATGGCAATAGGCTCACTCCCTATTACATGGGACTCATAACATGAACACCGAGGCGTTTTAAGTGCGTTACCGGCCTTTTGGGAATTGGGATTTTGAGGATTGTGGAGGATTCGGGAATTGGGGAGACAGGGCCGGGAGGGGGGGGGCGTAATTGGGCCTCCGGTAACCTCACTCACACGACGAAATACTACGTAAGCGTTGTTTCACGCCAGTTTTCTGTGAGGCCGTGGTATCACTCCGGTTGAGCCGGCCCATGCGTGCCGAAACATCACTCTCCCCTATTCTCGCGTTATGTACAATATAAATTAATTATTTTATCATAATTTCTAATTTCGCGCGTAATTCACGAAAACGCGGCAAACAGAGGACGCCATGATTGTTTTGTAGTCATGACGTCATTTTTTTTTTTAAAAAAAAAACGTTGCCACACATTAGGATTATCTCCTGTGTCGTGGGTGCGTTTACAAACATACAAGTTCACATACACAATGACACCCAGACTCGAAACAACAATTTGTGGATCACACAAAGTGTTGTTCCGTGCGGGAATCGAACCCGCGACACGTTGCACGGCAGCCGGTTGCCCAGCCACCGCATCAACCGTGCAGTCAAGGTACGTCAGTATTCATTCAGTAAACTACAGCTGACAGTAATACACACTTAGTACATTGACAGCTGACACTTTTGTTTACTACCGTAATGACGTCATTGGCATGGCGGCGACATTTCGTAGTGTTCAAAGACAGATAAAAAAAACATTACAACTTTAAACTGCAATCTTATACTCTTATACTATTATATAAAGCGGAAGAGTTTGTTTGTTTGTTTGAACGCGCTAATCTCCGTAACTACAAGTCTGGTTTGAATAATTCTTTTTGTGTGGGATAGCGCATTTATCGAGGATGGCTATAGGCTATAAAACATCACGCTACGACCAATAGGAGCTGAGCAGAGCGTGTGAAACCGCGCGGAAGTAGCTAGTAAAAAATATGCTAGTAAGTATGTACATTATGAAGTAAAACTAACATTTCACGATTGATTTGCCTCTCAATCATTGTAGAGGTAATATACTTTTAATTTTTTTCTCATCTACACTAAAATACCATATTATGAAAGTAGCAGATTTGAGGCCCAGGCGTCTATCGTTTACCCGCCCAAGACACAATGTCTAATTATAATAATATTTAAACTGTCAAACACCAAGCGGTCACCCGTAACCGCAACCTATTGTTCTATAATTGTGTCTATAATGACGGTACTCGACGAGTTAAAACCACTTACCTAACAAAGAATCCACCTCCACGTCACTCAAACTGTTCCCCCAAAAGTTAAGCATCTTCAACTTGTGGAGACTAGCAAACATCCCCGAGGGGATCTCCGTGATCAAAGGGTCTGATAGCTCCAAGTACTCCAACCCTGGAGACTGGGCGAAAGTGGATAGGTCGAGGGTCACTGGAGTGCTGGTGATTCGCAGCCGTCGAAGAGTTGGGAGCTTCTCGAGAGCTGATGGTGGTAGTGGGTCTTTTGGGCCTGACGAGGAGACAAATTACATTAATTTCATCACTTAAATATTAAGAAACTCTTTAACTAAGATAGGTGACAATAAATTTAGGTATTCACCAAACTATAACTGATACCTAACAGTACAGGTAAGGGATTAGTTTAGGTGCTACTTTACGCTAAGTAACTCTTAGATAAGAGTTGGTTTAGAGGTTGTCGGTGGAAACGGCCATTCATTTTATATGTACAGTTGGCCGAGTTATCTTATTATATGGGTCCTCATAACATAAATAGTGAAAGTAAGTGCACCTCTGCCTACGCCTTCAGGGATAAAATGGCGTGATTTTATTTTAAGCCGAGTTATTTAATAGATAAGTAAGAAAATAAAGATTGATTCAGTATAGAGACAGTAAGGCGTTGCATACAAAACTGAGATGCGATGTCGCATCGCAAAAACGTGCTAGCTCCCTCTACGCATCGCAAGAACTTGCGAATTGATTCGCATCGCGCATCAATATCTTATCTTCCCGAAATCTTCTGTTTCTTGTTCCTGTATCTCCTAAGCAATAACAGAAGTGCACACTTCTTTTTACGATCCATATCACGGCCTAGTTGTCAATTTAAAATACGTTTAGTACGGTTGACGGTTGTCGAAGGAAAGGTCACCCTGGGAGACGCCTTGTCGCACGAAATCGCATCGCAGCAATTCGCATCAATCGTTGCGGATTCACATCGCATCGCATCGCAGTTTTGTGTAAGAGCCCTAAGTCTTTGACAAATATTTTGTTCAGCTACCCATAACTAAATAAATATCAAAACACAACTTACCCTCAGATATCATGATCTCCTGGACCTCTCCAAGATGCTCTACATCATCAGCTCGCATAGGTGCTCGCAACTTCGTGAAAGTGACAAAACTTATTGATGACGTCATCAGCGCGTCATTCAGGCAGGGGATGATGGAAGGAGGGCATTTCTTCAGCCAGAGGGACGGGAGGGTTTGGTTATTGGCAAAATTGACCTGAGGGAAATCTGCGCAGGTGAGGTTTGCACCCTGGAATGAGAAGAAGGTTTCATTAATTCATATCAACAGCCTATAAGTGGTCACTGCTAACGAAAGGCCTCTTCAGGCTAGCATAAAGGTTTGACCATTAATCACCACGCTTGCTCAATGCGGGTTGGCGATTTCAAACTTATAATTAGATATTCTAAGTCCAGGTTTCCTCACTGATGATTTACATTACCGTATTGTCATTGGTTCAAGTGAGCTATCCTTACTAATATTATAAATTGGAAAGTGAGTTTGTTTGTTTGTTTGTTCCGCTTTCACGCCGTAACTACTAAACCGATTGCTTTGAATTTTTGCAGACGTAAAGTTAGAAGTCTGGATTAAATAATAGGGTACTTTTTATCCCGGAAAAATTTGATATTCCCGAGGGAAAACAAAAGTATTGGTATAGATGGCGCTATGTGTATTGGTATATGTCACATAGGCTACTTTTTATCCTTTTGTGACTCGAGCGAAGCCGCGGGTAAAAGCTAGTGCCATATAAACCGTCATCTATCTATCTATCTATCACTACATAGTGTAAAGTAAAGTCGCTATCTGCCGTCTGTCTGTCCCTATGTATGCTTAGATCTTTAAAACTACGCAACGGATTTTGATGCGGATTATTTTAATAGATATAATGATTCTTAAGGAAGGTTTATAATTATGTATAATACATGAATATTGAGCCCGTGCGAAGCCGGGGCGGGTCGCTAGTGTGTTTATAAAAATGAAACCCGTTTCCCGTTGTCACGCCATAACCTGGAAACGGCTAGACCAATTTGGCTGATTTTTTTTGTTGTGTTTATTATTGTCAGGAGAAGGTTCTTATGACAGAAAAAAGTCCTGAAAATCCTACGGGAACGGGAGAAAACGGGATTGCGCGTACGAAGTCGCGGGCAGAAGCTAGTAGTTGAATAAAAATAATTTCTCATTGATGATTTTCATGTATTTTGGCAAAGCGACAGAATTGCGTGCATTGGAATTTTCTAATATTAGAAATTAGTATCGCGGAAAAAACTGACTGACGTTCTTCAAGTACTTTCGTTTTCCTCGTTTTTGAAAAACGTTATCCGCACACGAGGACACTCTCAAAGAACTGCTCCGTGTTAGAGTCGAACCCACTACACGTTGCATAGTCACCGTAAGCACAAAAACCTAACGAGTAACCGGGGCTCCGGCTCGACGTGCAGGAGAAGGAACGGGGTGGTTTTTAGTCAGTAAGAGTCTGACACTCCCTCCCGCCTCACCCAGGCGGGAGAAGTCATTCGATGATTTTTAACAGACTTCAAAAAAAGGAGGAGGTTCTCAATTCGACTGTATATTATATGCTTTTTTATGTTTGTTCGCCGATATCTCCGTTATTTATGAACCGATTTTGATAAATCTTTTTTTATTGGATAGGAGATAGTCCCAGAATGGTCCATGATAAGGAAATCAGGATCTGATGATGGAAAACCAGGGAAACCGAGGGGATCTTTTAAAAATTATAGGAGCAACTAGAGCATTTGTTATTTTCTCATTAAGTATTAAAAACCACTACAATTTGATAAAGGTCTGGAGTCGACCTGATGATGGAGCCGAGAGCCAGTCGAGGGAACTCCTCAACGGTTAACAGTAGCTGCCTTGTGTTTGGGGTCGATTAATTTGTGTTGCTGAGGTGTTCCTCTTTAGGTCTTTAGTTTTTGAAGTCGGTTTTTTAAACGCAGTTTTTTAATTTTATCCCTCCTCAAAAGAAAACAACATTTATGTACAGTATGTATTTGACATTTATTTACAGTTCTGAGACGGAGTTCAGAAGCTACTTTCTGAAGACGGTTACATAAATAAAAATCAAACAAGGATTCTTTAGTAAGATGTTTTCATTGAGTTTCGTCAAGTGTGAGTCAAGTTACCGAAGGCCCAATATTTTTTTTACCTGATAGGTCGACGTTGGGCCACCATCTCGCCGGATGGTAAGCGATGATGTGACCGATGATGGAGCATACCTACCTATGAGGCATGAGCAACCTGTTCACTCGGGACTTGAAGACACCAAGTCATATTTGTCGGGAAACAGAGATTCTGGCAAGGAGTTTCGTTCCTTAGCGATTCGCACAAGGAAGCTTGACGCGAAACGCTTCGTGCGAATTGGTGGAATGTCCACCATATAAGGGTGGCGCCCCGCCGTTCCTCTGGTAGTACGGTGGTGAAACGGACTAGGGGGAATAAGGTTGTGCAATTCCCAAACACGCTCCTCGAAATGTATCCGATAGAAGACTGAAAGGCTTGCGACTTTACACCTACATTCGAGGCTTTGAAGCTGGGCCTCCACAAACGCATCATGATCATATTACCCCCTATATTTTCCTTCAAAATATAAGGTGCCGCCATGATGTTCCTAACGTATAGCCCTAAACCTCTGACCCCCAAAAGGACGTCAACACATTTGTAACGCCTCTAGTGATGTGGGTGTCCACGAACGGCACTGATTGCTTACCATCAGGTTATCCGTCGTCGTTATATATAAATTATATAAAGCTGAAGAGTATGATTGTCTTTGAACGCGCTAGTCTAAGTATCTACTGGTTCGATTAGAAAAATTATTTTTGTGTTGGATAGTCCATTTATCGAGGAAGGGTATAGGCTCAACCAGAGCGCTGAGCAGAGTGGGTGAAACTGTTCGAAAGTAGCCAGTACAAAAATAAAATGGATAAAAACCAATACATACCTCACATTCTATGTTAACATACTCGTTGTTCCTCGCGTTATATGTTACTTTGTTGCTGCCAGACTTGCATCTGTATTCCAGTTCATCATAAAGCTCGCAGTAGCAGTTTGATGGACAATATAGTGCGAGCGCGGCCGGGGCTAGAGCTAGCAGTAGTAGGAACCGCATCTTGCTATGTGCCACACATCACTGTGGACAAGAGAAAAGGTACAGTTAATAACATAATCGTTAAAAATTCATTGCGACATCCAAGACAATAGGGTAGATGCCTAATTTTTATTTCAATGTCCGTCTGGTAGATTATTTTAAATCATTAGACACGTATTTTTTATTTTCTTACAGAAATGAATACTTTGACGATATTTTGAATTGAAATGTCGCGTGACGTCACTTCTATGTACATTTTATACGTAGAAATGACTTTTTAGCACCCACTCCTAAACTTTGATTCGTTATATCTAAGTATTGTTTTATTATACGACAATATAAAAAATACGTGTCTAATGTTTTTTCATTATCTAACTGACAGATTAACTAGATCTTTAATTTTGATATCCCGGACACAACCCAATTGTTGAAATTGTGATTATTTTATAATATTTCATTGTATTGAACAGTCGAAATATTTCTTTTTTTATTAAGGAAAGTACCCAATTATATAGAACTATAACTACTTCTTCTACTCTTGGTCTTGGTCGTGGTGGCCGGAGGTTAAGACGTACATGAAGGTGCGGGTGCGAAACCTACCAACGGCAAGTACCACAGGCAAGTACCAATGTAACTTTTTTCGAATTATATGTACTTTCTAAGGTTTTTTTTAAAAAAAGGGACAAGCCCTCCACATCCTCCCAAAACCGCTGCAACTCCTGTAAGCTAGGATCTACAGTAGATACAACCATGCAAACACCGGACCACTGAAGTCCAACGTCTCAGGGACATGAGTAACTGTCTTGGTCCCCGCAACGAAGTGAAGCAGAAGATATTATAAGAAGAGAAAAAAAAACGATAGTTTACACGTCCCTCGGTGAATTACTGCAGGAGATTTTATTTCGATCTCTTTGACTGTATTTTAGTGTTACATTGTTCTCGCACAATCCAAACAGCACAACTATGTACCCTAGAGAATTGTATTGTTAACCTGATTAAAAAAGAGTAACCTATGGAGTTTCTTGCTCGTTCTTCTCTATAGGAATCTACACTTTGGAATTAGCAAATAGCTTCACTTTTACTTTTTTTTATTGACGTTCAAAAGTGCTTCTCTGGTCTAATTGAAATAAATAATTTTGACTTTGACCGCTTTCACGCCGTAACTACTAAACCGATTGCTTTGAATTTTTGCAGACGTAAAGTTAGAAGTCTGGATTAAATAATAGAGTACTTTTTATCCCGGAAAAGTTTGATATTCCCGAGGGAAAACAAAAGTATTGGTATAGATGGCGCTGTGTGTATTGGTATATGTCACATAGGCTACTTTTTATCCTTTTGTGACGCGAGCGAAGCCGCGGTCAAAAGCTAGTGTACAATAATTTTGTCAAAAAACCCGATAGCATTTCTTTGTGTAGTTAGAAAATGAGTCGTCTGACATCGTGAGCATTGTGATTCATCTTAATATTATGCTAATTATGAAACTAACTCACTGTTTGCAGTAGTAGGTGTCATACATACAAAATCATACATACATATAATAGAACTGTAGAAGTGTAAATTCTGTACACTGAAAATATTTAAAAAGTAACAGCTAGTTCCATATAATTTAATTTTCGTAGGTTTTTTTAAGGGGGGAATATCATCCGATGACTGCTCCCGCTGCACTGCTCCGGGAGGGAGTGTCAGACTCTTACTGACTAAAGATCACCCCGTTACTACTCCTGCACTTCGAGCCGGAGCCCCGGTAACCCGTTAGGTACTCCGCGACTCCAAATCGGCATCAGCCCTATTGGGCCCCATCTGTGGTGGTCTGATGGCTCTTTGAGGCGCGCGCGGAACGCTCGGCGCCGTCCGCTCGGGTCTGTTTCTGGTCGGACGGGGAGCCACCCATGCTCGCTGTCCGCAGGCCCGCGCTTACGGTGGCCGGAGATCGTCTCGCGATCAATTTTCGTAGCAATGTGTCTTTACGTAGACGCTTTGTAGTTTCTGTCTACCGCGGCCACGGGACAACGACGCGAATTTGTGTATGTATGTCTGTACACACGACCACACATCAATCTATACAAAACCAGTTTATCCTGGTGTCGCGTCGCATCATCTTCCCGTACATTTAACGTTCAGTTTATACTGGTTATGTAAAGCTCGATGTGTAGCCGTGTCTACATTCAAACTAGGCTTGTGTAGTTCGTGAACGAACTAGTTCAAAAGAGCGCTCCCACATTCAAAATATGCGAACTAGTTCACGTCATTCCCAACTCCTTAGTTCCTTAGTTCGTATTTCAAAGTAGGTAGAAGTACAAGGATTGTGAAGTCGTTTATATGTATAGTCTATGGTGAAGACCGCACTAAAAAATGCGATAACATGATCTCACTTGAAAAGTCATGAGCTGAGTCGGGAGCTGACGAACTAGGGAGCGATTTGGCTGCCAGTGCCTTCCTAGTTCCTATCCGATTCATTCCAATTCCAAATCGAACTGGGAGTCGGGAGCTGACGAACTAGGGAGCGATTTGGCTGCCAGTGCCTTCCTAGTTCGTATCCGATTCATTCCAATTCCAAATCGAACTGGGAGTCGGGAGCTGACGAACTAGGGAGCGATTTGGCTGCCAGTGCCTTCCTAGTTCCTATACGATTCATTCCAATTCCAGCTCCAACTGCGAGTCGGGAGCTGACGAACTAAAAGAGCGAACTAGTTCGTTTAGGAGCGGCGAACTGATCTGAGTGATCTTAGTCGCGAACTGTTAAGCACAAGACTAATTCAAACTATTTTTGTATTTGTTGCACAAAGAACACAAGAATACATTGAAAATATCTTCGGCCAATTGAGCAGAACGCTCTTCATACAAAAATAGATCTTATTCAACACAGTGTAAGTATAAATACTGCTTGTTTTGGCTACAAGGCGTGAATAACTGCTATTTATTCAATTGCAGTGGCTGAAATATATACCTGACGTTTTCCGAGTTATATGTACTTTCTAAGATTATCTAGACACCACTGACAAACGGTGAAGGAAAACATCGTGAGGAAATCTGAGCTTAAAATCGCCCCCGCATTTAGCAAGCGTGGTGATTAAACTGTCAAACACCAAGCGGTCGCCGGTGACCGCAACCTATTGTTCTATAATTGTGTCTACAAAACCGGTACTCGACGAGTTAATGCTCAAACCTTCTCCATTCCGGAGCTGTGGACAACTTAACGGGTGACCGGGGGCTTCAGTTCAAAGGCAGGAGTAGGAACGAGGTGCTGTATAGTCAGTAAGAGTCTGACTGAGTGCCTCTGGGTACGGCGGTTAATCTTATAAATAGGAAACTGTGTGTGTGTTTGTGTGTATGGGAACAAACACAGTTTGTATGTACAACAACTCAGCCACGTCAAAACGGCTGAAGGCATCGGGATAAAATTTGGACCAGGAATAGATTATGGTCTGGAATAACAGGCTCACATAGGCTACATTTCCACCCACGAGAACGCGGGCAAAGCCACTGGTAGAAGCTAGTATTGATACAAAATGTCGTATGACATAAACACTTAAATAAAACATGAATTCAACTGAAATCGATATCATTTCAGCGATAACTTGACAGTTGTTTGTTTAGTTGCGCATACGCAAGGCACAGGAAGTGAGGATGTGACGTCATCACATACACACGAGCTCACTGTGCAGGCGCAGACCACATGGAATACAATCATGATAATATGTGAGTACTAATAATTTTTTTTTTCAGATTTTTTTTATACTATATAGGTCGACGTTAGGCCACCATCTCGCCTGATGGTAAGCGATGATGTGGCCGACGATGGAGCACGCCTACCTATGAGCAACCTGTTCACTCGGGAATTGAAGACACCCAGGTCATATTTGACGGGAAACACAGCCTCCGGCAAGGAGTTCCATTCCTTAGCGGTTCGCATGAGGAAGCTTGACGCGAAACGCTTCGTGCGAATGGGTGGAATGTCCACCATATAAGGGTGGCACCCCGCCATTCGTCTGGTGGTACGGTGGTGAAATGTCTGATTTTTTGCAGAATAGACGGGGCACCTGATGGTAAGCGATCAGCGTCGCCCATGGACACTTGGAACACTGGAGCAGTTACAAGAGCGTTACTGGTCTTTTGAGGACAGCTATGGGCTATAAAACATAGCGCCATGGTCAATGGAAAAGTGTATGAGAGCCATGCTCCAGAACTGCTGGGCCGGCTCGACCGGAGTGATACCACCAACGAGCAGACCAGTGAACCAACCACAGCGTTGTTTTATCGTGTGAGTGAGGTTACCGGAGGCCCAAATACCACCCCCCTTTCCCATCACCCTAATCCCTGAACCCCCAACAATCCTCAAATTCCTAATCCCTAAAAAACCGGTAACGCACTTGTAAGGCCTCTGGTGTTCCAGGAGTCACTGGGCGACGAATAGGAGCCGACCAGCAGGAGTAGCTGACCTTTTTTTTAAGGGGGGAAAATCATCGAATGGCTTCTCCCGCCTGAGTGAGGCGGGATGAGTGTCAGACTCTTACTGACTAAAAACCACCCCGTTCCTTCTCCTGCACGTCGAGCCGGAGCCCCGGTTACCCGTTAGGTTCTCCGCGACAGGAGTAGCTAGCGTTAGATCAGTGTTTAAATTCACAGTAATTACTTATTTAAAAAACAAAATTAATTAGTTTACGTCTAGAGAGGTCGTTGACACCAATATGGCGACTGCTTCACAATCGATGCAGATACTATTTAATCGATTGATTTCGTTTTTTAATTTGAAATCTCGTAATTATTTTCATTGTTGTAACTGCTTTTGATTAACAGGTGAAACCATAACAGTCTTATTACAAACTATAATTATAGATTTTTTTTTGAGGGGTTAAAATCATCGAACTACTTCTTCCGCCTGGGTGAGGCGGGAGGGAGTCAGACTCTCACTGACTAAAAACCACCCCGTTCCTACTCCTGTTCTTCGAGACGGAGCCCCGGCAACCCATTGGGTCTTCCACGGCTCCGTATCGTCATTAGCCCTACTGGGCCGCATCCTGTGGTGGTCTGATCTGATGGCT